CCCCCGCGCCTACCAGTACCCCCCGCGCCCCACACTCCCCTCAGAGGACCTGAGATAGAACCGGCTTACTATTACTACTGTCATGTAAATAAACTTTAAGAAAAAATTTTGTTCTTTGATTTCCGGCTATTGGTTCTCGAGATATCGTGTCAACCGTTTGGTCATCTCATTTTTTCAACTCTGAGCCTATCAACTAATTTCTTGAAATTTTAGAATGAAAATATTTCTTTAAAAATTTTTTTCGTATATTGACATGTGTATTAATAAATATATGAAAAATTATAATTGTATGTCTTATAGTTTTCCTTAAGAAAAATTCCAAAAAAAGTCTAACTTTTATTGTGGCTAGAATGTAGGGGAAAGTGGGCGAATTGTGCGCAGCGGGTAATTGTGCGCATCCTGGTTTGGTACTTTGCCGATAGATGGAGACATCGCCGTGATGAAATTTTTACGCAGGAGGTCGTCCTCGTAAGTTATAACCACAAAAGATATGACGTAAGTACATTGATAAACAGTGAAAGATAAAAAAGTAAAAACATACATTTTCTTGTTATTTCAGCGTTCAGAAAATAAGGTGGTAAGTCCGTATTTTTAATTTGTTAGTTTAAAGTTGCATACGTTATTAAAGTACGTTATTATGTGCGCCTTTCGACCCGTTATTTATTAAGTTTGGTTAACTAGTATTGAAATAATCGTATTTCATATAGAGTTAGATCGTGGCGGGTAACTGTGCGCAGGCGGTTTGAAATGCGCATAATTACCCATCTTCAATAGACTATATAGCTATTTTCCAGTATACACAAGTGAAACTGAATTTGAAGTGAGCTGAGTATTTTATACTCAGATTATGACGTCAGTACTTGTTTACTTTTGTAAAAAGTTATCACATGTCAACATAGGTTCATAACCCCACTTTGGGTTGATTTTACGAGACTCGTTAAAGCACAATTTCGATCTTGTGCGGATTATAGGTAAATACTCAGTTGAATCTCACTTGTCAAAATGCAAAACATAATTCATAACATAATTCAAAACATAATTCATTCACTTCCTACAACTTTTGCTTTGCGCACAATTCCCTAACCCATGCGCACAATTACCCGACGCGTGACAAATTTTTTCGCTTTTCCGTTTTTTCCTTTTTGCCAAATATAACCTTATTGAATGAAAATCTGTTCAATATAAGAATACGTAATAGTAGGAGAATGTTTATAGTTTCTATTTCCCTATTTATATCGCTTTGAACTTAGAAAACCATCCTAGAAGAACAAATATCCCTTAGGTGCACACAATTCGCTCACTTTCCCCTACCCTTGAGCGTACCACAAGGTGAAGGTAATTAAATTTCATTAGATGAATTTTATTAAATTTTATAATTGCAAGTTAACAATTAAAAGTAAATTAGATTTATTTATTATAAATATTTCATTCTGTATATTAGTATTAAAGTAACCATTGGTTTAATAAAATTTGTGTTATCATACGTATATTTTTAACGGTTCCGTATATTTAATCCCGTATTATTAATTTTTTAATTATGCTACTACGTAATAATATAATTTTTGTTGTATTTTGAACTGCATTGATAATTGTATCTTGTTAAATATACAAAAAAAAATTACTCGTTAATTGGATAAATTTTTCGTTAACTATACTCGCAGAATATCTCGTTGATCAAACATGTCTCTCTGTTAATTATTGCGGCATTTCGTTTTATGCATAATGTTCCTTGTTTCATCGAATGCAAACAAGGATAAATAATGCAACATGAGCATTACGCACTCATAATCTATGTGGTACTTAAAAAGCAGTATGTAACATAGAGAAATTCCAATTAATCCTATCGATAGTGATAAAATATATGTATAGATAGCGATAAAAAAAATGTATAGAAATTTTGGAAGCTATAGAGCTTCCAAAATTTCTATACATTTTTTTCAAAATTATATTGACGACGGAAAGAGAAGACGTTTTCTTATTAACCATGATACATACCATTTTGTTCCAATTCACTACTAGAAAACAACACGGCGACATAAAACAATACAGCATATTCGCCAGATTTGGGTCGACTGACACAATAATTGGGTTACTATAGAGTGCTGAGATTAAAATTAATCATGATTCTGATGATGAATATTTAAAATAATTCGCTTCCCAACCAAACTGAAAAATATTAAACAAATCCTCTTATAATGTAATAAATAATATAATACTTATAATATAGTTCTAGTTTTAAATGTAAAATCTCGATTCTAATCATAACAACCAGAAATTATTTTTTATTTTTATGAAAAAATCCGAGATTTTGGTTTAAATAAGATGCATTTAATTATATACGCGTGCGCGCATCTTATTTATAGCAAACCATAATCAAACAAATTTCTATGCATTACTGCGAGAATAGAATGTCTGTTATATACCTGCGTAAGAATTATCCTAATGGACAAAACTGTGGCATACGTCTGAAAGAAAGTATTCTATCATTATATTGAATGAAAACAATTTTATTAACCCTTTCGCTTAGAAAGCAGGCGGTCCGTCGGAATACCGCCATTGATCGGGACCCCGCGCCAAAAGTGTACACATTATGTGTAGACAGACTTTGGTGTTTAAAATTTCATTTTATGCCCGAACAGCATGAACAACGACACTTTGACATGTTTTTGGAAAAAAAGGGATTATCTCTTAAAACAAGAAAATTATAATTTCTTTGTAAACCATTTTTTAATTGTCCCTTGCCAGTGGCATTATAGGTCTACTACCACTACTAATTATGTTTAAATATACATCATTTGACAAAATCAGTGTTACCAACGCTTGGTATATGGCTATACAGAATGATTTGGCGTAACTCTTACTATAAGGAACACTATAAACTAGCATTTCGCAAATGCTGGCTGTAGCCAGCGTTCGTCTATACGGATCGCTTCGTGGATGCCAAACATAGCCAGCGTTAAAGAGCAAAAAGGTTTAATTCAAAAGAATTAATTGTAAAGAAGATCTTGAATACGTTCTATTTTATATATACATATTTATTCTATTATATATATATATGTA